CCGCCGCCGCCTGCGCCGCGGGCGGCGCAACGGGCGCCGCCGCCGCGGGCGGCTGCGGCTGCGCCGGGGAGGGCGGCCAGGCGCCTCGCCCAGGCGGCGGCTCCTCGGGCCGCGCCCGCGCGGGCGCCTGCGCGGGGGGCGGCAGGGGGCACCGGAGGACGAGGCGGCGGCGCTGCGCAGGGAAGCCAGTGTAAGCAAGCGAGTGGAGCAGGGTTCTTCGCTGCATCGCTGCAGAGAGTCCGTGATGGCACATACGCTGGGTCTGGACCAGTGTGGCGTAAACGAGAGTGATCCCAAAACCCTTTTGGACATGCGTGTAATTCGAAAAACACTTTACCTAAGTGTCCCCGTCATTTTTTCCGGACCTTCCACCCCCCGCGCCTTCTTCGGTGTGATCTGTGTGGGCTTCCTTAGAACTGCGTAGAAATCATTCTCTTATTCCTAGGGATGATACGTGTTACCCGAGGGGGGGGCCAGGGGGGAGGTGACGGTAACGGGGGCTGCGGCGCGCACCCCCCGAGGCAAGCCGCCTACGTCGTCGTCGTCGTCGTCGAAATCCACAGTGCTTGTGCACACAACACGAACTCTGTACACCACAATGCTTTTGTGCACCAGAGCTGCTGCAGAAATGGTATGTGTGTGCACGACGGCGACTGTATACACCAAGCAAGCCGTGTGCACCACAGCGACTTTGTACATTACGCTGCTTGTGCACACCTCGGCGTCCGCGTGCACCACAGCTGCTGTTTCAGCACTCCCTGTGCACCACGTTGCCTGCGTTCACCACAAAGCTTGTGTACACCTGAAAGTACCGACGGAGCCAATCCCCAGAAAATCGATGGGGGCCCGAACGTACCAAATGAACACGCGACTTGAATGTGATTATTTGTGTTTCCGGTCCAGTGAACGCTTGGATATCTTGGGCCCACAACGCCTGAGTACGCCATAGCGACTGTGCACGTCATGGCAAAGGCGCGCACCACGGTGCACGTGAACACCGCGCGGCTTGGGGGCTCGCGGAGCGGCGTCAGCCGAGGCAATACGCGCAGGAAAAATAGGAGGAACAGCAGCACCAGCACGAGGAGCAGGAGGAGCAACAGAAACCCCACGATGGGGTCGACAGCTCGGGGCCCGCGCTCATTTCCCAAGAGCGCTGCAAAAATGCACACCATCTTCAAACAGAGCACAGGCTGTTTGGCATATTGATTGCAGCCATCTCAATGCGTGCGTACACCAGCAGCAGCCGTGGAAAATGCCTGCACACCACGTGCTCGTTTAACATACAGCAGCACATGTGTAAACCACAGCAGACGCTTGCACCGGAGCGCCTATGATTATTGACGTCACAGCTGCTGTTTCAGCACCCCCCCCGCGCGTGCACCACAATGCTTGCGTTTACCAAAAAGCTTGTGTACACCCCAACGGCCCCGACGGAACCAAACGCCGGGAAATCGTTGGGGGCACGGATGTACCATATTCAATATGTGATCTGATTGTGATTATTGGTTTCTCTGGTCCGAGGAACGCTCGGACATGTTGAGCCCACAGCGAATTCGAAACATCACGTCTGTTTGTACCCCAAAGCCTGTGCACCACCATGCTCGTGTACACCATAATGCCATCGTCCTGCATCCGCAAGGAGTATGACGAAGAGGACGAAGATGAAGAGGGAGGACGAGGGATAAGTAGGAAGAGATGCGTGGGTACATCATAGCCCCCAATGCACGTGTACGTCGTAGCGACTTTGCGCACTGCAGCGATTGTGTACATCACGGCGCCCGTGTACACCACGGGGCTTGTGTTGTGTACACCACAATGCTAGGTCGGACGGTGCCCCTGGCCCTAGGTGTGCCCCCCAGTTTTTCGCTCAATGTTGGTGCCCGTGGGGCCCTTTTGGGCTCGTGAGGGGTGCTCTGGAGGCCGCGGGTGCCTTCTTGGAAATCCTGAGGGCACCGTGGACCAGGGGCCCCCGGGGCAGCAACACTCGAAAACAAGTGCGCGGACGCACGTTTCAGGAGCTCCGCGCGGATTTCCTGGATCGGCGCACGGGCCTGGTGCCGATCCGAGAGATCGGCGCGGGATTCCGAGAGTTGACGTTCATCTGAGGGACGGATTCGTGGGCACAATGCCCAGCAACAGATCTTGTCCAAAAGCAGCAAAGGGCCACTGCTGGGCAGGCGGCCTTCTGTCTCAAATGGACACTGTCCGCGGCGACACCGGCAGCGAGTCATGCTCAAAACGAGAAGGAGATGCTGTCGGTCTTTGTGCCCACTCTTTCCGTACACCTTTCGGCCGTCCCGACCTGTGGGGGCGGCCACCCTGGCGGCACCGGCGGCGCCTGCTGCTGGGAGGCAGCTCGCTCGGACAACTCTTGGCGCCAGTCCGCGCCCACCTGCGGGGAGTCGGGGACGCACTGACCCGGGCCTACGCAACCACGGGTCAGTCAGGCTTGGCAGGATCCTGCAAGATCCTGCAGTATCCTGCACCCAAGCCCGGGGCAGTGTATCCCTGGCCTTGCAGGATCCTGCAAGACCTGGGGCTTTGACTGACCCCCGTTTGCACTGACCCCCGTCCCTTGAGCCAGAGATAACAACGATCACAACGACAACGACAACACCGATCATAACGAAACGAAAACAACGAGAATCACGACGACAACGATCACAACGATGATATCGACAACAACGGCACGCACGATCACAGTGACAACGATGAGGAGGAGGAGGAGGAGGAGGAGGAGGAGGAGGAGGAGGAGGAGGAGGAGGAGGGAGGAGGAGGAGGGGAGGAGGAGGGAGAGGAGGGGAGGAGGAGAGAGGAGGAGGGAGGAGGAGGAGGAGGAGGAGAGGAGGAGGAGGAGGAGGAGGAGGAGGAGGAGGAGGAGGAAGAGGAGGAGGAGGAGGAGGAGGGAGGAGCCCACCTGCGGGGAGGCCGCCAACGCGGGCGCCGGCGCCGAGGTCGGCTGCGCCTGGGGGGGTGGCCAGCCGTGCCCGGGCGGCGGCGCCTCGGAGCGCGCCCACGCGGGCGCCCGCACGGGGGGCGGCTGCCCCGCGGGGGGCGGCCAGCCGCGCTCCTGCAGGGGCGGGCTGCTCGCTGGGCGCTCACTTGAACGAAGGATTGCAAAAAAACGAAGGATTGCAAAAACGAAGGATTGCAAAAAAACGAAGGATTGCAAAAACGAAGGTTTTCTTGCAATCCAACGAAGGATTGCAATCCTTCGTTTTTTTGCAATGCTCCGTCACACGAGCAGTGGAGCACGAGCGCTCCCCAAGGAGCAGTGGAGCCCCGAGGCCCAGGAGCTCCTCGCAGCCAGCCGCCGCAGTGGCGGCGCCCTGCGCGGGCTGTGGCGGCCACCTCCGCGGGCGCCGCGTAGGGTCGTCATCGTCGTCGCCGTCGCCGTCGCCGTCGCCGCCGCCGCCGCCGCCGCCGCCGCCGCCGCCGCCGCCGCCGCCGCCGCCGCCGTCGTCGTCGTCGTCGTCGTCGTCGTCGTCGTCGTCGTCGTCGTCGTCGTCGTCGTCGTCGTCGTCGTCGTCGTCGTCGTAGTCGGCATCCCCGTCGTCGTCGTGGACGTCGAGGCCATGCACGGCGAAAACCTCACAATTCTGCCTGCCTGGCCTACCTGCAAATGCCTCCAGGTCGCCTCCGCTTTAGAGACGCCGGCCTCCTCGCTCTTCTCTCCTCCCCCCTGCTTTTCCCCCCCTCCTGCTTCATCATACTCCTCCTCTCCCTCCTCATCCTGCTCCGCCTTGTTATTTCTCCTCACTCCCTTCCCCCGCCTCCCCGCTGATTCCTCCTCCTCTCCTGCTCTCTCTCCATATTTGACCCGTAAGGTCCTCGCCCCTTCCTCCCAGTCCCTGCTGACTCCCTGTTTTCTCTCCTCGCCCCCGACTGCCTCAAGCATCCTCATGCTAGGTCCTCCTCCTCCTCCTCCTTCCACGGCGCCTCCCCTTCTCCCTCCTCAGGCCCAAACCCCCGACGTCATGATCCCCGACCATCCTGTGATTTTGAGTCCTCGTTCTGAAGAGACAGCGCCCCGCGTTTCGCTCACGGTTTCCTCTTCCCCCTCCTGGCTTTTCCCATCCCTGCATCTGTCTGTGTTCCGGCGCACCCAGTGCAACATTCGTGGCCCCGTGGGAAACTCCACCGAAGACCGGCGACAGGGTCCGAATGGCGACGCCCCCTGGTTCTGTGGCCCCTGCAAGGTGTTCCAACGAAAGCCCCACCGGCAGCAAGGTCCACATGGCGACGCCGCCCCATTTGGGCGCACCCCTCACACGGCTCGTGGCCCCATAAGACCCGCCGAAAGCTCCAGTTGCAGGGCGCACATGGCGGCGCCGCCATATTCTGCTGCACCCCTCAAACGGTTCTGGGTCCCATATGGCGATCAGCCGAAAACCCCATTGGCAAGGTCCACGCGGCGGCGCCGTCCATTTTGGCGCACCTTTCACACGGTTCGTGGCCACATGGGGCCCTCAACCGAAGGCTCTGGTGGCACGGGTCACATGGCGGCGCCGCCCGTTTTGGGCGCACCCCTCACACGGTTCGTGGCCCCAGAGTGAGCTCCACCGAAGGCCCCAACGACGGTGTTCGCACGGAGTGCAGCTGAATGCTGGCGCGCCCCTCACACGGTTTGTGGCCCCATAGGGGGCTCCACCGAAAACGGTGCCACAACACGGTATTCACAACTGCATATGGTTGGATCCGTCGCCACGATATTTCTGTTCAGATCGTCGACCCCCAGAGGTCTCGACCCATTGGCCTGGACGGGTTTTTCATTCTGAGTCATTGTTTGACGGCCCCGCCACCTGGGAAGGGCCTCCAAAGACCCGAAATCGCCAAACACTCCCCGACGTGACTCCCAACCATCCTGTCGTGTTGGGTCCTCCTTTTGAACAGACAGCGCCCCGCGTTCATTATCCTGTTCCTCCTCTCCTCCTCCCCCGCCCTTGCTTCTGCCCTCCGCATGCCCTAATCACCATTTCATCGTCATACACATGTTTTTTCTCCCCCAAGCGAACACAAGAAGCTGCGCGAGTACCAATCGATCCACCCCAGGGCGTCCACCCCAATCGAGAATACGCATCTGCGACGCCGCGGCCATCCAGGCCAGGTTGTGGAACGATGCGGCCCCGCCGTAAGCGTCCCGCAGGAGCCAGAGATCCATCGGGGAGGCCCAGGCTGTGGGCCCAGATGCCAGGCGGAAGAGCGCGGACGGTGCTGTTGTCACAATACATCCTTGCACTTCTTCCTGCACGTAAGCGTCGGGCCACTCCAACTGCGCCACGTAGAGCAGCGTCGGCCACATGAAAGTATTGTAAGACCGAGCCTGCCACTGCAACCCGAGTGGCGCGTCTCGCCACATGTGCACCCGCTTGTGGAACTTAGCCAGTGGTTTGTGCCACGTCTTGCTGCCATTGCCAGGCCCCATGATGTAGCCCAGGTTTTTGCCGAGTGCTGAACAGACATGTCCTTCCAGGCCGTGGCGCGCTCCATGAAAGACGCCGCGTTCTGCTCCAGCAGAGCCCGCGTGAGGGGGACCACGACCGGCTTCCGCAAATTCAAACGTAAACCAAATATCGCAGCGAACTCCACGAAGAAACGTTCCAATGGCGGTAGCACGCGCAAGAACTGCTTCAGGATCAGGACAGTGTCGTCCGCGTAAGCGCGCACCAGAATCCCGTCGATGTCCTGTTCGAGCTTGTCTAGCAACGCCTCCGCCACCAATGCGTACACCAGCGGGGAAAGCGGGCAGCCCTGCCGCACACCCGCCTCGAGCGGGAATCGTGCGAATGTCTCCCCCTTGAGTGACAGGACACATCTGCTCGGCGCGCAGAAGACCAGCGCAGAACCCGCCCGGTGCATTCGTGAGCAATGGACGGGAATGCCGCCTCAAAGTCGAGGAACACAGCCGCGCCCTCGTTGCCAGCCAGACCGGTGAGGAGCATGGCGGTGTCCACCTCGAGCAGATTGCGGAGAATTGAGCGGTGCCTCAAGAAGCCTTGTTGGCGCCCCTGGACAAAAGACTGCAGCTGCCTTTTCCCATTTTATCTTCATCGCGCTGGTCAACAGGCGGTTGTCGCTGTTGACAATTGAGAGCGGGCGCGTCGCTGCCCCTAAGTAGTAGGCGGCCAAGTCCGGGTCCTCCCCGATCGCCTCCTTCGGCAAGCATACCAGCGTGGACAAGTTGAAGTTGTGCTCGTCGCCGTCGGCCTCGTCCGAGTATGCCTCGTTGAAGGATGCTTCTGCCTCGCCAGACTCAATGGCGAGGCAGAAGCACGTCGGCGCCAGCAGCACGTCGGCACCAGAAACACGTCGGCGCCAGGATGCTTCTGCCTCGTTTCGACACCGCCAGCAGCACGTCGGCGCCGACTCTCCCGAGGGCACGCCAGACCCCAAAAGGTATACCATCTGGGCCAGGTGAAGAATTGTTGGAGGATTTGATGGCCGATACGATATCAGAAACATTCACACACCAAGCAATCCGCCGAGAAGAGAGCCGGCCGCGGGGAGCGCGGCGCCGCCGCAGAGGGAGGTCGGACGCAGAGGCTTGTCGGGGGTCGTCGTCAGGAGTCTCTGAAGGCGGCGGCAGCGAGCTCAGCCACCTTTTCAAGAGAACGCCGTCGATCGGTTTGCTGCTGAACACCGCTGCCAGTGCCGGCGGAGCGCTGCCGCCATCTCTGCGGGGTCTGCAGTGACAGACCCGTCTTCTTGTTGCACTGCTGCGAGCGTCGTAATCGTGCCGAGCAATAGCCGCCATATTTTTTTGCAGCACGCTTGATTTCTGACGAGTCCGCCCCTCTGGATTAGCTTCCTGCCGCAATTGCTCCACTTCGTCTCGGATATCCTCCCTGGACAGCGTGATCACCAGCTGCTTGAGTTCTTGGAAGCCTGCGGACAGCCGGGTTTCTGGGTCCCGCGGGTCGCAGTGTTGCAGAATCAGAGGACAAGCCACGGCGGACTGTCTCATTCGATAGAGGTTTTGCTTCTCTGACGCGCGGATGAACGTCATGATCCATTCAACTTTGTCTAGGGCCGATCGCGCGCAGTCTTCCTGTAAGCTGTGCTCCAGGCTCCGCGCCGCCGCCCGAATTGCCCTCTTTAGCAAGACCAGTTGTCTCGGCGCTGTGGGTGGCAACGAGTCGTGCGCCAGCGCGTCATCGGCGTCATCGTCACACGTTTCGTGACCCCGTAGGGAGCTTCCCCGAGGGCCCCAGTGGCTGTGACCACATGCGTCCGCGCCACCCTGTACAGCACTTCGTGGCCCCATAGAGAGCTCCACCGACGGTCCCACTGGCTGTGTCACATGCGTCCACGCCACCCTGTACAGCGCTTCGTGACCCCATAGAGAGCTCCACCGAAGGCCCCACTGGCTGTGATCACATGCGTCCACAATACCCAGTACAGCGCCCCGTCGGCTCCATCGGGAGCTCTACAGAAGGCCCATTTGCTGTGACCACAGGCGCCCGCGCGACTCAGTACAGCGCTTCGTGACCCCATATGGAGCTCCACCGAAGGCTTCAGTGGCTGTGACCACGTGCGTCCCCCCGACTCACTTCGGCACGCCCCTCGCGCGTGTCGTGGCCTGCCCCGAGGGAGCTCCACCGGAGGCCTCGCGGCGGTGCCCACATGCCTCCCCCCCCCGGCTGATGTCGGCGTGCCCTTCGCACGCCCCATGGCCCCGCAAGGAGCTTCCCCTCCTTCTTCCAACCAGCCTTGCGAGCAAGAGAAGGAAGAGGAGGTGGAGGAGGCGGAGGAGGAGGAGGAAAAGGAGGAGGAGGAGGAGGAGGAGAAGGAGGAGCAGCTGCAGAAATCTGGGCACTTCGCCAGGATGACTTGCCCCTGACCCCGAGGGGATCTGGGCTCCCCCCTGCCGGCGCGGCCGCGCCAAAACCACCCCAGACCACGCCCTGAGAACGCTCCGGGACGCTCTGGAACGATTCATCGGGGTCCTGGGTCCGCCCGAACTCCTCCTCCTCCTCCTCCTCCTCCTCCTCCTCCTCCTACCCTCCTCCTCTCCTCTCCTCCTCCTCCTCCTCCTCCTCCTCCTCCTCCTCATGTTTGTCCTCCTCCTCCTCCTCCTCCTCCTCCTCCTGCTCTTGGCGGTGCTTAGAGGGGGGCAGGGGGGGGTTCTTGGAAGGAGGCCGCTTCTTAGCAGGCGATGGCCTTGTTTCTGGAGGCACGGCCCGCGCCTTCTGAGCAGGGGTGCTTCTGAGAAACCTTCCCCCCCTCCCCGTTACCCCCCCTCTGCACGTGACCGGTCCTCCACTTCGACCCGCCGCTGCGAAGCGAATGCAGCATCGAGACAATCACAAACACGCAGCCCCTGACCACATCTCTCTTCGGCATTCTGCGAGCCAGATCGATCTGTGATGGGCTGCGGAGCCCGAGAGAGAGAGAGAGAGACAAACAAAAACAGAAAAATGGCCGTTGAGAAAATGATACATCGCCCTGATCTGAGGGTCCTCATTCTACTGGCCATCGCTCGGACGTCAATTTCCCGTTCATTCTCCGGTTTCGTGTAGGATTTTCCCCCTCAAGATGAGCCAAGGTGCTCCTCGATGGTCCTCGTCGAGACAAGCTGAACGCCTGCGAGCGAGGCCAAGTGTACTAGACCTCCCGCTTCTCTTTCGAGCATCGGAGCGTCTGTCCGCCACCCCCTGGCCTGCCACCGCCTTCTCCCGGCCCCATGCTGTCTCACCCGCAGCGTCGCGCAGACGGAGACTGCTGCACCTGATAACGGAACTTCGGAGCCGAGCGGCACGCAGTCGGCACTGGGAGTCTCCGAGGGGGGGGGGGGGGGGCGATATACACGAGGGGGGGGGACGAAAGGCGCTCTTCCCGGACCCTCAAGGCCCCCTGCGGGGCGGGCGCTACAGGTCGCCTTTCGGGGCCCTCAAGGGCCCCTCTTCGACAGCCCTTGCTGCCCCCCCCCCTCCCGCTTTATCGCCACCCCATGACAAGACCCCCAAGGGCATCCTGATCCTTCGTCACCGGGTCTGCCACACCCTTGGATGATGCAAAAAAGGCTGGAGGGGGGCTTTTTCTTCGTGTTCAATATCGGCGCGTTTCCCCGCCATTGGGAGTTTTTCTTCCATATGGGGGTTCTTATCTCGCCTTTTGGTGTGTGCGGACTGCAGTTGTTCGTTGTGTTCTGTGCTGCCGACGTGTTTCTTCGCTTTGGTTGGCCAAAATACGATGGAAACAAACCCCCAGCGCTTATCAACTAAGATCCCACCAAAATACCCTAATGTTTCAATAGCATGGCCGCTGCCCTCCGAGGGGTTGGGAACAATGCGTCGCCGGCCTCTTTCGTAATCGAGTAGATACCTACAAACATGACCGTGCGTCTGGCAGCAAATCGTCTTCCTTGACGGCTGTTCTCCTCCTCCTCGAAAACAAACGATTCATTATTCAAGGGCGCCAGGGCTCGTCCGCCCCGCGTGCTAGCCATTAGGCCTGATCGGAATGGCTTGGCGATGCTCGGCGAACGCCTAACGATTCTGGCCTCCTTGCCTGCCTCGCAAATTCTACCAAGACACCTCCGCTTCAAGAGCGCCGGCCTCCTCTCTCCTCTCGTCTAACCTCCCTCCTACTTTCCCTCCTCCATTGCAGTATCGTGCTCCTTTCTCTTTCTGCTCTCCCTCGCTCCTCTTCCGCATTCCCTTCCTCCTCCCTTCCCCCTGATCCCACTTGCTCTCCTCCTGTCTCCCTGCCCTCGCAGCGTCCGCAGACGTGCCCTGTGGAACGCTTCATCCCGCACCTGGGCCGCCCCAGACATCTCCTCCTCCTCCTCCTCCTCCTCCTGCTCCTGCTCCTCCTCCTCCTCCTCCGCCTCCTCCTCCTCCTCCTCCCCCTCCCCCTCCTCTTCCTCCTCCTGCTCCTCCTCCTCCTCCTCCTCCTCCTCCTCCTCCTCCTCCGCCTCCTGCTCCTCCTCCTCCTCATCCTCCTGCTCCTCCTCCTCCTCCCTCCTTTCCTCCCACCGCGGCGTGCGTCCGCCGACCCCGGGCCTTGCCTCGCGCCCCGGGTCTGGGGCAGGTCGGCGCCCCCCCCCCCTTCCCTGGCCCAGCTCCACCTCGTTCCTCCTCCTCACTGGGTAGTCGAAGCCAATCTGGCAGGCGGGGGCAATCTGGCGAGGGAGCCAACGCGAATCCAATCTGGCGAATAACCCAAACCATCCAGTTTGGCCGGGCCAGATTGGCCCTTGGGGCCCAATCCAATCTGACAGTCTGGCCTTCGACTACCCAGCCTCATGCCTTGCGCTGCTCACATTGTACTTACGGCCCACATCCCCAAAATCATTTCGAGAACCCAGAAGGGTATCGAACCAGTGCCTGCCCGACACGCGGGGGTAGAGTCTAACGACAGTGGCCTCCCGAGGCCCGACACGTGAGAGCCCTCCCATTGGAGTGCCTTCCTGGTGCTCGAGTTCCCCTCTGGTGAGCAAGACTAGACTACACTAGGCCAGAACATCGTAACCCCTGCCTCCCTGTCCTTGCACCGCGCGACCCCTTTTGCCCCCCGCCCTACCAGCGGCACGCGCGGACGGTGCAGGGCAAACCGCGCGGCGCAGGGGAGCCGTCGGCCCCCTCGCGCGGGGCCGAGCTCCCGACGGCCCAACGGACTTTGTGGCTGCTTGCGCGGGGGGCGGGTTGGGTGGAGGGGAGGGTCCCTGACCTCCTCGGGTGCCCTCCTCCCCCTCCCCGTCCTCCCCCTCCTCCTCCTCCGCCTCCTCCTCCTCCTCCGCCTCCTCCTCGTCCGGCTTCAACCGCGACCCCGGCACCAATCCCTCTTTAGGATCGGTGTCCACCAGGGTCAGGCGTGTGAGGGCGTGGCTAACGTCAGCACTGTACACCCCAACGGCCTGCGGGCAACGGCCCGTGACCCAGGCGGGGGGGGGCAATGAAAACTCAGGACAATCAGGAACGCTAGAATGCGGGCGGCCTGGAAGGGGGGCGGGGGGGAGGGGGAGAACCAAAGGGGGGAGAGGAGGAGGGCGGGGGAGGGGAGGGGGGTCGTCGCGTTGTCGTAGCGTGAGCAAGGCAGCCGTTTCCTTTTCCGTCGCCTCCACATGCGCTCCCTCTTCCCTCCTCCACATCCTCTCCTCGGTCCGCCCTTTCCTCCTCGAGCAGGGCTCTCACCACCTCCGCCGCCTCCTGCTGGTGCTTCTGGGGCGCCACGGCGCCTGCTGCTACAGCTGGCACGTCTTCTTCGCCGCCTACGATGCTTCCTGTGCCCCTGGGCCTCCTCTCTTTCTTGCGCCGCCTCCTCCTCCTCCTCCTCCTCCTCCTCCTCCTCCTCCTCCTCCTCCTCCTCCTCCTCCTCCTCCCCCTCCTCCTCCTCCCCCGCTCTCCTCCTTCCCCTAAACCGCCTCCTCCTCCTCCTCCTCCTCCTCCTCCTCCTCCGCCTCCGCCTCCTCCTCCTCCTCCTCCTCCAGCGGCCCTCGCCTCGGGTGCGCACGGCCCCGGCTTCGGAGCCGCCGTGCCCTGGGCGGTGCGGTGAGCAGGGCGGAGCCTCCCGCCCCCTTTGCAGGAGGGGCCCGACCGCAAGAGACCTTCCACAAAGAGCCCAACCCTGAGACCCCAGGACATGCGTGGACTTTTGTAGGGAAACGAACTCTATGTACACCGACGCGTTTCCCCCCCCCCCCCCCCCCCCCCTGCGCTGAAATTCGCGCAGGAACGCGGATTCTGGTGTATACGGGAGCCTGGTGTATACGTTGTCGTTGTTTCCTAAGGAAAACGAGGAACATTTTCACCACACCACCCCGACCTCGTCCCCGACCCTCAAAAGAATCCTGAGTTTGAAAAGCCGCCCGCCACTTGTAATGTATGGGTTCCAATTTCCGATTTTGGTGTGGGAACGTCACGCTTTCCAGAGCGAGCCCTCGGAATCCGCGATTCCAGGGCACCCTGGAGGCGAGCAGGGCGTTTCTTGGACTCAACCTCCGCTGCACGGCCCGAGCCCCCGAGATGCCGATGCGCGACCCGCTTTGCCGTTGCCTTTTCCGCCTCGCCGTTGCAGAAACATCCGCCCTGCTCGTCTGAGGCGGAAAGGTCCGCCCTACTGTTTCGAATCGGTCAGGGTGCATTTCCGACGCATATCTGATTCGGGCAATGAACTGAAGTACGGCGGATCCGACGCCAGGGAAGAGGGGGACGTCCAAGAGGGCGCGGTGGCAAATCGGATAGCTCCTTGTTGTTACAAGCAACGGTCTTTCCCTGGGGGTGGGGGGCGGCGGGTAACGGTAACGCTTGGCTTGGGTGGGGCACGTCGGGGCGGGGGGGCGCTACAATCAACGACAGATGCGCGCGAACGTCCGCTTGTGTGGGGGTCCAAAGCCCCCACCCCTATATACCATCGCTACCGTTACCCAGGCGGGGTGGGTGTGGGGTTTGACTCAGGTAAGGACGGTTACGCGCCCAACGATCAGAAAACACGACCTCTCAGAGCCCGAGGCACGTGCGCGGCCCTGGGGAGGGGGAGGCGAAGGGGACGTGCTGAGGGAAGAGGAGGGGGCCATGACACCTGGGGGGGTATCATGGCCGCGGCCATGGCATACCTCCCCGAATTTGGACGCCCGAGATGGGTACGGGAAGTGTGGGTACAATGCCCAACAACAAATTTTGACCACACCAACAGCGGTCACTGTTTGGCAGGCACTCTTCTGTCTCCATTGGACAACGTCCTCGGCGGCACCGACAGCGAGTCCCGTTCCAAAATGGGCAGGGAATGCTGCCGGTCTCTGTAGCCATTGTTTCCGTACCCATATCGGGGTTAGTGAAAGCTGCCAGGGGCACTCCATGTGCGCACGGCACCGCATTCCGAGTGCACACCAGCGGGGTAGCTAAACGACGTCTAAAAATCAGCTCAATATCTGGCGACACGCACGTCGAGTAGCGAAACCGACCAGGGACTGCACCGGTACACTCGAATGCCGATGTCCAGTGAACCGGTGAAGATTTCCTCAATCGACCTGTCTAGATGGGCGCTCCCCCATGCCTGGCACTCCGATCGTGCGGTCAAGTTATCCACCCCATCCTGGCTCGGGCGTTGCGTAATGGGGGGTGGTAAACAGTTCACGTGTTGTACCCCAAGGGGGCCCTGAAGGGGCCCCCTCGGGCCAAAAGGGGCACGAAAGACACACCGTTCTTCATCCACCTTTTTATCAAGACGAAGCCAAGACGAGAACAAACTCAGGTGAGGATGGAAATCGGATCTCTGAGATCCAGATCCAACAGTCCTCAGGGGATGCATCGGGCGCAACGGCCTTCTCAGAGCGTTCCTTGACGCCCTGAGGGGCTCCAGGGACGCTCTGCAACGCCCACTGGCGATAGGGCCCTAGGGACGAGGTGCCTCAAGCAACGTACATCCAGCCGTGGATCCCTTCCTATTTGGCGGCGCGCGCAAATGGGGTAGGGGAAGGGGGGGGGCTTCTTAGAAAGAGGCTGCTACTTAGAAGGCGCCGGCCCTACATCTACAGACAAGGCCCGCGCCTTCTAAGAAGCAGGGATGATGCTGAGAGGCGAAGATAGGGAGATGATGTGTTCAACTCGGCAAGTGCTCTTTCTCTCGAAAAGCTTGAGCCCTCCAGGAGTCTAGCACGCCCGGAACTGGCCTCGGTGCTTCGGCGATCTGGGCCAAGCGTCTACGGTATGTCGAGAACGCGGATATACAATGCGCCCAAGATATTACGTTAGATCTTGTACATCAGTTTGAAACACCATGCGAGCAAACGATCTGCACAAGGTTGTATCTCCGCTTTGTCCCCTCCTCTATTCGAACCCCCAGCAGCCGGCCCGTATCAGAAGAATGCGCGATAAGGATGCAATGGCAGTGAAAGGCAATTTTGTAAATTTTCAAGTGGGGCGCGGCTAACGAAAGTGGTCGAGGATGGGCCGAGGAGGGAAGGATGCCAAGGTACCCTTGGGAAGGTTGCCGATCCTTAACATGCAGGTCGACTCTACTTCAAGCTCTCCCAACTCTGAATCACAATTGAGCAGGGACCGACCGTCCCGGCACTCCTATAGTCCTACCACGAAATGTTCTTAGAACCTAGAAATGCTCTAAGAACGAAAACAATGTTCTTAGACCATGAACCCGATGTGTTAAAACAAGACGCCCCCGGCCAGGAATATTCCAAGACCATTTCGTCATTTCGTGGAAACCACATTAAGCCCTTAGAACTTTGATTGGCAGGGCTATGGGCGAACCAGGACGCTTCGCCACTGCTTGACACACACCCCTTGGCCACTGCGACTCGCCGGGAGCGCCGCTGGCCGCCAGACGACCCCCGTCTTTCTTCCGTCGCTCACGCGGGAGAGGCCCGGGGGTCTTCCCACCCCCCCTGACCAGCGTGCCGACCTGAACAATGTTCTTCGTTTTCGTTTTGTTGTCGTTTTCCCTCGTTCTGTCTTCGTTCCGCCTTCGGGGCAAAACGTACTCCAAACGAAAACGGTCCACGAAATCGGCAAAACACCGTTTGGGTCGAGCCCTGCTTCCCACCCCCTTGTCGAGCGTGCCGCCGCGGGCAGGGGGCAGGAAGAGTCTACACCAGGGCTCGACCGAAACAACGTTTTTCCTTTTCGTCTTGTTTCAATGTTCCTTCGTTCTGTGTTCGATCCGCCTTTGCTGCGTAACGAAATCGAAACAAAAACGGCCCACGGTCCATTCCTGGTCTACACCTACCCCTGCCCCGTCCCAGGATGCACAAGGGCGCCTCACTTCGCGCTTCGCGCTGCGCCAAGCGCGACAAACTTTGCGCTCTCGCGCCGCCCCCCAGGGTTATGTCGGGCCTGTCCCCATACAGGAGGATTTAAGACGAAAAAAAACATGCCCCCAAAATACGCCCAACGTGCTCGAACATAGTCAACAAATGGTCCCCAGACAGTTTTTACTATTTTTGAATATTCCCCCTGTAGAGGGACATGCCCGACTTAAGAATAACTTCGCGCCTTCGAAGGCGCCCCTTGAAATCTGCACCGATCCCATCCATCCCTCAGGACCCCAGGAGCAAATGTTGTCCAAATCCGACAGCGGCCGCTGTTTGACACGCAGTTGTTTTGTTTGTCCTCAATGAACAGCGTCCGCGGCGGCGCGGAAAGCGAGTCCGGTTCAAAGTGAGCATGAACTGCTGTTGGGCATCGTACCCACTCTTCCCGCACTCATTTCGACCGTCCCGACCTTGAGCCTCCATCGGCTACACGCAAGAATGACCCCGGGTAAGAACGACGTCTGGTGCGCGCTCTTCTGGGGGCCGCGGGGGTCCCAGCGCAGATCCAAGAAATCCGCACGGAGCGCCAAATGTTTCTGTTGAAAGGCGTTTTTTCTCCTGCGAACTTTGGCGAAGGGTCACTCTTGCGTCTGGTCGGCCGCATCTCTCAGGTCCTCGTATTTGCACTACCGGCTCGCGCCCCACCCGCTCCTCGCGGACAGCCCCCGGAGAGAGGCCTGGCACCAGCCTCCAGGGCGCCGGGAGGCCCTGGCGGCGGCGCACCCCGACGACGCGCCCTGCTCGAGCCGCCAGGAAGGTTTTGCGGGGTGGCAACTCATGGGAGCCGTCCATACCATCTTGTCGACTCTTGCTAATCGACGCCAGATCGACGCCAGATCGAGGCTAAATCGACGCTAATCAACGCTGAATCGACGCTCGGCGACGCGAAATCGGCGCCATCTCACTGACTCCCAAACGCTTATCGACGCTAGCCGACGCTAAAAACAACACTAAGGGGGCACACGAGGCTCCAATGATTTGCTACTGCACAGGGCGGCGGCGAGCCCAAAGGGGGGAAATCAGACGGGGCGGGCCTCCTCGAGAGGCTCCGAAGGCACCTGGCCTTCTGAGCAGTGCTCTATAAGCACGCACGGAAGACACAGGAAGCTGCCCAGAAGGCAGGAGGGCTTCCGAGAAGCCCCGCCGCCCTCTGCGAACGCCTCCTCTGTCTCACTTCCCCCGTGATGGGCCTGTTTCCCACCACCACCACCATACCTGGAGGGGGGAAGGAGGTGGAGGGTGAGGAGGAGGAAGAAGAAGCGGGGGAAGAGGACCTGAGGACCCCGTGCCCCCTTTAACTTATGGTGGTGGTGGTGGAAAACAAGCCCAGGACCCCGCGCTCGCCGCCGAGCAGAAGCCGCGTGGTGGCAGACCGCGCGGTGACTTCAAAACCCCGAAGGCTCTCTGATGGGCCTGCTTCCCACCACCACCAAAGTTGGAGGGGGGAAGGAGGTGGAGGACGAGGAGGAGGAGGACGAGGAGGCGGAGTAGGAGGAGGGCCCCCTCCCCCTCCGACTCATGGTGGTGGTGGTGGTGGAAGACAAGCCCCTCGACCTCGCCGCGCGCTCCGTCACCGCGCGCCCCTGGGGCCCTGGCGGCCTGCGCCGCCCGAGGCGCCCTCGGAGCACAACCGGGCTCCCGGAATCGTGCGGTGACCCCGAATCCCCATCGACCCACCACGCGGCGCGGTCACCACACCCTTTGGGCGGGCCCCGGCGACGGCGCCGCCGCCGCCGCCGCCGCGGACGACGACGCCGCCGCCGCGGACGTTGACGTTGACGTTGACGTTGACGTTGACGTTGACTTGACGTTGACATTGACGTTGACATTGACGACGACGACGACAACGACGACGACGACACGAGTGCGGTGACCGTGAGTCTTCACTGACCCACCGCTCGCTGTGGCCACCGCGCTGCGTGAGGGCCTCCGAGGCCCGGGTGGCCGAGTTCACGGCCGCTGCTTCCAGGAGGCCCTAAGTCGTGAGCGGCTGGCTGCTCAGCTTCTTCCAGGGCTCCTTGTAACCGAGCGTCTTCGCAACGTACTCCTCCGGCCAGGGCGGGGAGAGAACAGAAAAAAACTGGCATGGAAACGCCACCAAGTGGCTCGTCGGCGCCCCGAAGGAAGGATAGAACCCCCCACGCTCCGCGCGGCCCAGCTGAAGCCGCAGCGCTCCACCACCACTCCGAAGACGTATGGGGCGGCTGGGACGGTGATGGGGGTGTAGAGAGGAATGGAGAGAGGGCGACGAGGACATTGTTCTGGACGTGGGTTAGAGTCAAGCGCTAACTCGCAGGAAGCAATGGGACCGTACGAAGGCCACAAAAAGGCCATCGAGCGAGGGCCAGAAGAAAGACTCCACGGCTGAGGGACAGCGACCGACCGAAAAGCCGAGGCCAGAACCCGCAGGGACCACCAAGCAAGGCAACAATCAGCAGGTCCAGTTTTTTGCTTGTGCGACGACGGGAGCCGACAACAAAGGGTGGGCTGAAGGGGTGTGGGCGGGACAGCGGCCCGGAACTGACCATGTTCGGGTGGCGACATCCGAACCCTAACCCCAACCTGCCATCGACACTCCTGAACCGATGGGAGGCCGGGGCAGGGCTCAGATTTCGCCACGTGCTCGACGAAATCCAGACCCTGTCCACGCCGCCCGGCCACAGAAGAAAAACAAAACGCCATAAACATAAACTTTTGGCGCTCCGCGCGGATCTCCTGGATCTGCGCTGGATCCCGCTCGCTGGTGCGCGGAGCGCGCCAGGGGCGGCGCCGCCAGAGGGGGGGGGGCCCAGCGCGAATTCAGGAAATCCACGCGGAGTGTCAAAAATTTATGTTTGTGGCGCTGTTTCTTCTTCGCATCCAACTCCCTGCCTGAATCCGTCGACCGGCGAGGGTGATGCTCGCGCCGCCGAAGGCTTTCTCCCTGCTGGCACATCGGCGGACGAGCCTGTCGCTGGCGAGAACGAGCGTGCCCGGGCACGGCAGTGTACCGCGTCCAGATCGGCGAGGTGTGGAGATGGGGTTGGGTCGGGCATGTCCTCCTGCAGGCGGGTTTCGGGGGTAACATTAGAATTGAAAGAAGTTCACGCGTAATCACAAATATGTGAAATGCAGCGTGACGGCCAAGCGGGCGGAACAAAAACCATTGCGCTACTCAGCGCCATTCCGCGCCAGTCAGCACCGCTCTGCACCACTCAGCGCCACTCAACGCCACCCAACACTACTCCTGGGAGCCACTCGACGCCACCCAGCGCCACTCGGCACCATTCAACGCAACTTGGCGCCACTCAGCGCCACTCGGCGCCACTCAGCGCCACTCGGCGCCACTCAGCGCTACTCGGCGCCACTCTGCGCCACCCAACGCCGCTCAGCGCCGCCGAGGAGGACGAGGAGGATGAGGAGAAGGAGCAGGAGGAGAACAAGGAGGGGGAGGACGCCCCTGACGGTACAGAGCGTGGATGGGGAGAGGGGGGTCGCACGGGCCGCTCCCAACGAGGAGGAAGCAAAAGCAAGAGAAGGAGAAAAGCTCGAGGAGAAATCTGAATGAAAAACGCTACTCCGAGAAAGCAGGGCGCGCAACGCACATCCGTGAAATGCGAGCCATTTCCCGTGGGATCTGCTTTCCTTTATAAATGAAAAGCGTGCTTTTTTTTTCAGTTAACTTCGATAGAAACCCATCCCTGTGGACTCCTTCCTCCCCTCGCCCTCGTTGGCATGTCCTCCCCCTCGGGGCCTTCCCTCTCCCCGCCATCGCTGGGGCCGCCCCTCGCGGGGTAGAGCGTGGTGTGGAGAGGGGGATAAGAGGCGGAGGAGGAAGCAAAAACAAGAGAAGGAGAACAGTTCGAGGAGAAACCTTAATGAAAAACGTTACTCCGAGAAAGCAGGGCGCGCAACGAACATCCGTGAAATGCGAACCATGTCCCGTGGAATCTGCTTTCCTTGATAAATGAAAAGCGTGCTTTTTCAGTCAACTTCGATAGAAACCCATCCCTGTGGACTCCTTCCCCCCCTCGCCCCCCTTGGCATTTCCTTCTCCTCGGGGCCTCTTCGGGGGGGAGGCGGAGGAGGAAGCAAAAGCAAGAGAAAGGGAAGAGCTCAAGGAGAAACCTGTATAGAAAATATCACCCCGAGAGAGCAGGGGCGCTCAGCAAACGCCCGTAGAATGCGAGCCATTGCCCGTGGGATCTGCTTTCCTTTATAACAAACCTGCGCTGGTCAGTAAACTCCGATAGAAACCCACCCCTGTGGCATGGAGAAGAAGAGAAATGCGAGGGGGCCCGAACGCCCAAAATGTTGAACAACCTGCTGCGACACGTGCAAAACATCAGATCCCACGGAAAGTCCCCCAGAAACAAGGCGGGTGCGTCGTCGTCCTTCCTCCCCTCGCCCTCCTTGGCGTTTCCTCCTCCTCGGGGCCTCACCTCCCCCCGCTATCGCCGGGGCCGCTCCTCGCGGGGTAGAGCGTGGATGGGGGGGGGGGGGGGCGAGGTAGAGGAAGCAAACGCATGAGAAAGGGAAGAGCTCAAGGGAAAACCTGAATAGAAATTATCACCCCGAGAGAGCAGGGGCGCTCAGCAAACTCTGTCAAATGCGAATCATTTCCCGTGGGATCTGTTTTCCTTTACAGCACAAGCGCGCTTTTCAATCGACTCCGATAGGAACCCACCCCTCTGGCATGGAGAAGAAGAGGAATGCGAGGGGACCCGAACGCCCAAAATATTGAACAACTTGCTGCGACACGTGCAAAACATCTGATCCCACGGAAAGTCCCCTAGAAACAAGGCGGGTGCGTCGATTTCGCTCTCCCCATCATCGCCCTCCTCAGCGTTCCCTTCTCCTCGGGGCCTTCCCTCTCCCCGCTGCCGCCAGGGCCGCCCCTCCCGTCTCCTCTCGTCCTCCCCCTCTTCGCCACTTCGTTTTTTTGGGGTTCTGCCTCTCCTGAGCGGTCCAATCACAAATGCCGCGCGCGGCCGTGGCCGCGGCGTCGGCACCGCGCGCGGCCTCCGCGATAACGGACGCGCGCAACAAAAATGCAACGGGGAACGCGCAGCACGAACACAATAATGACAGCGTTGCTCAATCAGGGAAGCGCCTTGGCAACCGACAGCAACGCCGCGATGTGAGAGTCTGCAACGCGGGGTAGCCTATCCCCCTCCGTACCTCCGGGCGCCTTACCGAACAGTGCAGCGCGCGGCCAAGGCCGCGGGCACCAACCGAAAAAGGGAAGGACAAAAACAAGTCGCGCCCCGCGGCGCGTCAGCACGAGCCGAACGGGTCAAAAAGAAGCGCCAGGTGCGATAAGCCCTGATCGGATTCGTTCACGGCCCGAGCCAGCATGGCGATCGTCGCCAGACGCTGGCCGAGCAGGGGGTCCCGCTCTGCCATCGTCGGCAGGTTGTCCCTGTTGAAGTGCGTGTAGTTGTAGCGCAAGAACATAACCATGCTAAGGACCCTGAACCACCGGAGCGATACGCCCCGCGCGGCTGCAGGCATCATGTCCTCCAAGCAGGACCACAACCGCTCCACTGGGGCCGTGCCAGACTGGACGGGGATGCCCGCCTGCCGCGTGGCGAGCGCGACATCCCGCCAGTTCACCAGGCCCTCCACCTTGACGCGGCGGCGCATCCTGCGGAAGTGGTCGCGCACCTTCCGCGTGATGACGCTGCGCACGCCCTTGACGTGGGCGGCCTGCCGCCGGTCCCGCACGATGCCGGTGCGCCACCGTCGCTGTCGGCGCCCCGGTCGGCACCAGTGCTGCACGCGCCGCAGCTCGGCCCTGAACGCCTTGTCGGTGCGGTAATTGCAATGCGAGGTGGAGCTGTCCAGCTGGGCACCGCAGAGGCGGGCGACCCGGGCCAGCGCGCCCCTGGGCGGCTGAGAACCGAAGACGCGTTTCCAGGTGCCTGCCCTGGCGCAGCGCGGCTGGGCCAGGAAAGTCCGCACGCGCTCCATGTTATCAGGGTCGAGCGCCGCCTCCCGCCGGAACGTCGGGGGGAGTTGGCTCACGGACCTCTCGAGCAGGGCCTCCGCCTCGTGCTCGAGGTCCTCAGGCTGACCCGCGCCGTCGCCCTTCGGTGGGGGACTTGCCGCCGACAACCGGGTGATGGCGTCCTTGTAGTCCGCCAGGAACACCTTGGTGTCGTTGGCGCTCGCTGGGACGAGCCTCCTGACCTCGAAGACGCAGTGCATCGGCTCTCTGGTGACGACGACGCCGGGCCCGTGCGAGGCCGCCAGGGAGCACGCCCGAGCCTGCCCCTTGGGCGTGTCGGCGTGCACTTGGAAGCGCATGGGCGGGAATTTACTGTGGTACAGCGACCTCAGCAGCTTTCGGTGCTTCCCGTACACGTCCGTGGAGTGGCTAGCGGGCGCTACCGCCTGCGGCGGCAACCCTGCGCTGGAGCGGTTGGCCGCCATCAAGTCGAGCAGCTCTCCCAAGTCTGCCTTATAGATCGCCCGAGGGAAGGCTACCCCAGGCCTAACCCCTAAGCCTACCCCTCGGGCCTAGCCCTAAGGCTACTCTAAGCTTACTCGTAGGGCCTGCCCCTCTGCGCTACCCTAGGCCCACCCCTACGGCCTACCCCTGGGGCTGCCCGAGGCCTTCCCCTCAGGCCTACCCCTAAGGCCACCCTAGGCTTACACTTAGGGCCTACTCCCATTGTTACCCTAGGCCTACCCCTAGGGGTGGGCTCCCCAGGGTTACCCTGGGGCTACCCCTAGGGCTACCTACCCCTAGGGGCTACCCTAGGGCAACTCTAAAGGCTACCTTTGGGCTAACCGCAGGGCTACCCTTTGGCTACCCTAGGGATACCCTAAAGCCATAGGTAAGCCCTACCCTCGGCAAGCCTAGCCTTCAGTAAGCCCTGGCCCTGGCCCCTCAGTCCTCACTCCTCGTATTCCTCCTCCCCCTCATCTTTGATAATATTCCTCATCAGTCCTCATTCCACCTCACTCCTCATGCCACGGTCATCATCCAGAGCGGTGGATGTATTGAGAGACCCTCGCGGGCAGGAATACAATATGTTGTGCTATCATATGGTATGATGTGGA